ATATGTAGGTTCTCTTTTGACTCTTTTGGAGAAGTCTTTGGAAGCACATAAAAATTTAATTTTTAGAAGGTCCCAATCATCTGGTTTCTCAAGAGTTACCTTCATTTTTTAATTTAGATTTTTAAAATATATCTGAGATAGTTAAAAGTTTCTGTAAGAATTTTATTTTTAAGTCAAAACCTGAAACCAAACTCACTGCTGTCGAGTTGGACCCAAATCAGTGACCCCTCCTTGGGTTTCCAAGGCGGTATCACTAGGGAAGTAGATTGTCCAGCCTTCCTCCCAAGAAGTGACTGTGGGTTTGAACTGCCAGCCTTCTGGTTAGCAGTCAAGTGCCTTAGGCTTTGGGCCACAAGAGCTCCTATTTTTAAGTCTAGCACATTTAAAGTATGAGAGATTCAATTCCGTTATCTTCTGTGAATGTTAGAAATATGTATACTTCAGATACCTACTTATTTATTTTAACCAGTCAATCAGAACAAGTTCTTTTATTTTAAAAGCTGCTATAATCTAATTTTTTGCTACTCTCTGGAAATAGGAAAGTACTTCATATACAGCTAGAGAGACAGGCTTCTTTGAATTACAGAAAGACACACACTGCTTTACACCTTCAGCCACGGGTTGAGTAAACACAGAAACACACAGTCACCAGTCCAGGTATCAAAGCTGTTCTTCCCAGGAGGCACCAAATCCTTAGTTGATTTGAGCTCAAAATGGGCAAATATACAAACATGAAAGACCAAGAAGCCACATTCTCCATTCCCTCTCACTTAATAGAGACTGGATCTCTGTTATCCTTTCTTAGAAATCACCAACTTGTGAGACCATAAAACTGAATTCGCCATCATTGCTATCACCAAGAGGGAGTAACTTGTCAGCCATGCACAAACTAGAAATGAAAATAAAACACACAGTCAGTCAGTAGAGAATCAAAACTAGAGGAAATCTGTTGCTGCTTTGGATTACTCTGGGCACCACGAGAAGACATGCCTGAGCCTGACCCATTCATGGGAGCACTTCGGATTACAGTTTGTCTGGCTCTGCCACAGACATCTTGAAGGATGACCTCCAAAACTCTCAAAGGATAATAATAAAAATATATATATATAAAAAGATGAAATCATGACTCTTGAACAAATATAAAATGAACCTGTGTCAAAGATTTTAAGTAAGTAAATTATGATGGAAGCAGTAAGATGTACAACCACTGTAACAATCAGCTTTATTCCTTTAAGTGTTAGTGACTAACAAAGTGGGAACCTCAGTATGTTAAAGAAGCATTTTGACTTATTTTAAATCTTGGGTACTTGCCTGACCATTAACCAACTAACCAGTTGCTGTCTAGCCAGTCCTGACTCACGGCAACCCCATATGTGCAGAGTAACCCCATAGGGATTCTGTAACTGTGACTTTGGAAGCAGATTATTAGGCCTTTTTTCCAAGGTGCCTCTGGGTATATTTGAACCACCAGCCTTTTGGTTAGTTGCCCAGCATTTAACCATTTGTACCACCCACAGACTCCATCTGACCATTAAAACAAAACCCACTGCCTTCAAGTCGATTCCAACTCATAGTGACCCAGTAGGACAGAGTAGAACTGCCCCATAGGGTTTTCAAGGCTGTAAATTGTTTATGGAAACAGATTAAATCATCTTTCTCCATGGAGTGGCTGATGAGTTCAAACCTCCCACCTTTTGGTTAGTAGATGCATGCATTAAGCACTAGCACCAGGGCTACTTCACCTGACCATTAGCATATTGAAAGCTAAGAAGTCCGGTATCTACAGTCTACACTCAAGGGCTGGGAGTGAGTGAGCATTCATTGACTTTGCTGGGGTTTCTGCTCTCCTCAGTGTCACTGCTCTGTTTTCTTCCACAGTGACAAAGTCCAAGCCCTCTCCTATGCACAGCACACACGGCAGCTCATCTCATGTGGCTGTGATGGTGGGATTGTCGTCTGGAACATGGACGTGGAGAGGCAGGAGGTAGGTGCCACAGAGGCGGGGTATGTCTCCTTCCACAGCAGCAGGCTTGCAGTCTGTGTTCAAGCAGGGCCAAACAAAGGCTCAGCCTCCCTCTCACCTGCTTATTTCTTATTTTTAATTAAACTATGACATACTATGTCAGAGAATAAAAATGTATGAAAAGAATTTACTTTTTTTTTTACCCCTCACAAATTGGCATGTGGCATGAACATAATGGAGATTTCATAAGAATTTTGACTGAAACTAAGCTGTTTAGACTTTAAATAGGTTATACCATTTGCTACAAAAGTACAAGTGAAAAAAAGGAACCATCTATTTTCAGGCAGTTAGCCCTTCAGTCTAAAATGCCCTAGGAAAACAAAAAACTCATGTGCTTTATGTATTGAGAGAAATGGTGGCTAGGATGTGAGGAATGTTATTTAATGAAGTAAGAATCCTTAGTCTGGTATTAATTGAAATATTAGAAATAATTATCTTTGTGTTTCTTTGTTAGTCATGTTCTAAACAGTTCTCCAGGTATAACTATATACTGTCAATTTTTTAAGCATGTTTCTAAATGTTATTGTGGCATTCTTTTTTATGGATTTTCTTTTTAATCTTTGAGCATCTTAACTGATAGGTTTACTGTCTCTTCTGACAAGCTCTTTGAGGTTAACCATTTTCTCATTTCCTTGGAATTATTCTGGGCAGACTTCCTTTGACAGTGTGGTGGCGGTGGTGTTAGTTCCATTCAGTTGATCGAGGCTCATAGCAGCCCTGCGTACACAGAACGAAGCACAGCCTGGTCCTGCACAAGCCTCACAGTCTTCGCTGTGTTTGAACCCATTATTGCAGCCACTGTGTCAACCCACCTCATTAAGGATCTTCCCTTTGTTGCTGACCCTCTCTCCACTCTACCAAGCACAATGACCCTCTCAGGGACTGGTCCCTCCTGATAATATGTCCGAAGTGCAAGAGACAGAGTGTCGCCGTCCTTGCCTCCAAGGAACAGTCTAAGGAGCATTCTTCTTCCAAGACAGATTTATGCATTCCTCTGGCTTTCCATGGCATATTTGGTATGCTTTGCCAGTTTGACAGTGTATTTTCCTGTAATTTCTTTGTTTGCAGGATGCAAGAATTAGAAAAGCAACACTTAAAATTAAGACAAAAGAGATTTCCCAGTGTCTTTCCATGCCCTCACCCCAGTCTTATTTCACAAGAGTAGTTGCTATTACCCACAATGTAATGCCTTTCAAAGGTCAGTAATTAAAAGCTTAAGAAGATTAAAGCTTTATTTGTTCAAACCATAAATCCACGGGAGTTCTATTAGTAACTAATTAAAATGATCATTACTGTTAGAAAATGGGGGTTATAGAATCTTGCTTTTTAGAAGTACCACTTGGCACCAGGAGCCTAAAGGCAGAGGCATAGTTGTAATGTATTCCAGCCATGCCAGCCAGGCTCTCAGTGCTGGCCAGTGGCTTTGTCCTGGCCTGCTTTGGGTTAGGGGCAATCACACCTGGTATGTCCTGGCATCTTCCCAGGCCAGGGGAGGAGGAATGGCTGCCTTCATTTCCCTCGGTTCAAGCTCAGAGTCCCAAAGAACAGTATTTGGGTGTTCTCCAGAGGTGAAACTAGGTGGTGGTTGGGCAGCCCTTGGAGCTGTCTTCCTTAAATACCTCTCGACCTGCAGATCTATGGGCACTGAGTACTTGTTGACTGATTCTAAATCTTTGTGTTGAATGATTCCGAGCTCTAAATACATGGTGGAAATGGTTCCATCCATTTTTCACAAGTGTCATATTTTTTTAAACATTAAGTCTTCTGAGAGATTTTTTTCTAAATCTGTATCTGTGGAACTACTTACTAGTTAGGGCAAGCGCTGTGCAGTGCTCTGTGGGGAAGGTCTGAGATGTGTATGAAGCAGTCCCTGCCCTGAAATGCTGGTGGACATTCTGGAAGAAAAGATACATGGGAAAAAACTTCACATATCACTAGATGATTGAGATTACTAAATTAGTTACAGTCAACGTAAGACAACATTAGTGCTGCATATTTACGAAGGGCACTATCATTGTCACTGACGTTCTCAGCAAAGGGTTTTTGGAGAAACATGCTGCTGAAAGATGCATAGGGCCTGACATGCTGTAATGAGGAGCATCCCAGGCTTTTTAGGCAAAGGAGCAAAAGGAGTGAAGACTTAAGGTGAGCACAGGCAGATCGCCAGCAGTGCTCGCTGAGCAGTTTAGAAGCAGTCAGAGATCATAGGGTGGCAGCAATAGCCTTGGAGGCAGATGACAGGAGACTGTGAGTGGTTGAATGAGGATCAAACATCCCCTGGCTTAACCATTTCATTCTACAGCTAATTAAATCCACTTTTTCAAACTTTTGTCATTTTTTAAAAAAAATATATAAATGTTCTTTGTAGAAAAGTTACAAAATGCTTATAAACAGATAGAAAGCATGTTAATTACTCATTATACCACCAGACAGAAATATCACCCTTAACATGTTGGCAAACATCCTTCCATACATTTTCCTCTGCACATACAGTGTGTGTGACATTTTAATTAAAAAAAAAATGGAATCACACTACATGTGGCTGATTTATTTCCATCTTTCCTGGTCCTTACTCCCATCTCCCTCCTCATAAACCTACTGTCATCAAGTCAGTTCCAACTCATAGCGACCTTATAGGACACAGTAGAACTACCCCATAGGATTTCCAACACTGTAAATCTTTACGGAAATAAACTGCCAACCTTTTGGTTAGCAGCCAATTGCCTGAATGACTGAGCCACCAGAGCTCCTTCCTCCTCATAAACCAAAAACTCACTGCCATCAAGTTGATTCCAACTCGTAGCGACCCCCTTTGGGTTTCTGAGGTGGTAAATCTTTATGGAAGTAGATTGCCGCATCTTCCTTCCATGGAGCAGCTGGTGAGCTTGAACCACCAACTTTCTGGTGAGCAGTCAGATGCCTTAGGCACCGTGCCACCAGAGCTCCTTTCCCTCTTCAGAGATATTACTATATATGCATGCGTCCTTGAAGAAGAAGATTGTGTGTGTGTGTGTGTGTGTGTGTAATTTTATCTGGAAGATGTACTGCAAGTCTCATTCTGTTTTGAGCTTTTCCCATGAAAGCCTGTTTGAGCTCTACCCATCCTACTGTGTGTACCTTGGAGTTCTTCTTGCTTCTCCAACCCTTCAGTATGTAGCATTCCCATTTTACTTCTCTGTTCCCCAAGAAAAAGGCACCTAGATTGCCACCAACTCTCTAGGACACAGACAGTGCCCAGATGACCTTCTTGTACATTTTGTGTTCCCTCACGGATCTGCATGAGAATTTCCCAGGACTGTAAACCCAAGAGTAGGGTCAATCCAAGGTACATTCAACAGTAAATTTGAGATTCTTTTCATGTACATAGCCATCAGACTTCACTGTCTCTAAAATACATGTTTGTATCTTTTGTATGTTTTGCCTATTTTCTAACTACTTCTTGTCATTTCTTACTGATTTGTAGGAGTTCTTTGTATATTCTAGATATCAAACCCTTGCTACTTACAGACTTTGCACATGTCTTCTCCTGTGCCCTGTTAACTTTGTGTTACACAAACTATTTAGTAACTTGGACTTTTGGGGTTTTTTCCTTCTCCCAGTTTATTGACTATTGAACATTTTCTCTGTCGGTCAATATGTATTTCTCTTACATCACTTGTTTTGTTTTTATTTTATTTTTGCAGTGTTCCCTCACCTCCCCTCCCACACCTGGTTACCAACAAATAAAGTTTCCTTCCGTACATAAACCATTCCTTGACTTTTTATAATAATGAACTAATACAATATTTCTCCTTTTGGGATTGACTTACTTCACTCAGCATAATGTTCTCCAAATTCATCCGTGTTATGCAGTGTTTTGCAGACTCTGCTTTAATCTTTAGGGTTGCGTAGTATTCCATAGTGTGGATAGACCATAGTTTGCTTATCCATTCTTCTGTTGATGGGCACCTAGGTTGTTTCTGTCTTTTTGCTATTTTAAACAGTGCTGTGATGAACATTGGTGTTCATATATCTGTTCTTCTCCTGGCTCTCACTTCCTTAGGACATATACCCGGTAATGAGATTGCTGAATCAAATGGTATTTCTAATTCCAACTTTTTAAGGAATCACCATACTGCTTTCCACAGTGGTTGAATAATTTGACAGTCCCACCAGCAGTTATCAGGGTCCCAATCTCTCCACATCCTCACCAGCACTTGTTGTTTTCTGTCTTGTTGAAGTTTGCTATTAGTGCTGGGTCCAGATGGTATCTCATTGTTGTTTTGATTTGTATCTCTCTGATGGCTAATGATCATGAATATTTCTTCATGTGATTGTTGGCCACTTGAGTATCCTCTTGGGTGAAGTGTCTATTTATATCTTCTGCACATTTTTTAATTGGACTGTTTGTCTTTTTGTTGTTGAGGTATTGGAGTTTTCTATAAATTTTAGAGATAAGTCCCTCGTCACATATGTTGTTGCCAAATATGTTTTCCCAATATGTAAGTTCTCATTTTATTCTTTGGAGAACTCTTTTGAAGCACATAAAAATTTAATTTTTAGAAAGTGCTCTGGGAAGATGGCGGACTAGGCACAAGGACTACACAGATGCTCTTCAACAAAGAAAAGGGAAACCAATTAACACAGACACAGAAGATAATCTTGGACCCCTGAGCCTTGAAGGGAAGGAT